GCGCCCCTGCAACACTCTTTGACCGACTCTCTCTCGCACGGCAAGGGGTCCCTCTATTCTCTCGTAGTTGGCAGATTAGGCTAATGCGATGGACCAGATGAGATATGGGCCAGCGAATCGGAGTACAGTGCCGGCACGGCAGGGGCGTGACTGTACCCTGGAAACGGCCGTGCCCCGGGCCACAATCACGACGTGAACTAAGTGCTGGGTGGAGCCCCGTCTAGGCACTACCTACTCGATGGAACCATCATCCTCTCCCTCTGAATGTCACGGGGCAACCTAATGGCTGCCAGCCACCTCGAAAACGGCGCCAGTTTTGAAATGGGTCTCGTGACCACTTCGCTCTTCCCGCCCTGGCCTTTGCTGATTTTGGCCAGGTTTGTAACGTGGATTATCGTTGGTTCTTATGTGCAGACACCCGGTGATGTGAATGTTTCTTCGAAGTGTATATCGGTATCTTTGGTTCATTTCTAGATGTCCTAGTTTTGAAATTGGAGAATACCATTCCCAAGTGAGACAATATTGCTTCTGAAATGAGGACGCTAGATGACAGTGTGATAGGTCGTTAGATTGATAGGTTGGGCAATTGGAAAGTGTTCTTTGAGCGTTTTAAGAATTGTTATTTGATGAATGTGATAATTGGGGATAAATAGTGTTACGATGCAAGTGAAATGTGATAATACATTATTTGTGATGAATGAATGCATGAAGATTCTTGTATTTGTCAAATCTTGTACAGGTACAATTCGATGAAATTCTACAGGAATCACTCCTTCGTCAAAGAAATCATAGTGATATCTTGAAATCTTCGTTTCGTGTATTGTAATTAATTTTATATTTTATATATTATGACTCATTGATGTTAAAACTTCTTGTTTTGAGAGACATTGAAACTGGAATACCTGGAACAGTTGAAGCATTCGTTACACATCACATTAAATTTTTTCGTAGAACTTAAGAATTAAGCAGTTTTCGATGAATAAAATTTCGATGGATTTTTAATCCAACCTTTTCGTCGTATATTTCGAATCACATTTCGTCGAAGTTATTTGGTTTCCAAAAACTTAAACACTAATTATAATATATTTTATAATATATTTCACTTTCAGAATTAAGAATTTTTCAATTTAGATATCGATAAATTTTCTTCAAAAAATGCAAATCGAAAATAAGAACGAAAAAAGAGAAATATTGAGAGAATATATAATTTATTACAAAAGAGCATTTTTCAAAGATTTAAATACATATCATATACTTTATTTTAAAATTAAAAACTTTTCACGAGATAAAATCGGCCGATTCAACTTTTATGTAGTTCCAAACAGATCGAAAATCGAAGGAAGAACATTTCGAACCACAATTTATCGAGAACAATTATTTAGTTTTCGAAGATTTAAATACTAATCATATATTTTATTCTAAAATTAAGAATTTTTCACGAGATAAAATTGGCCGATTCAACTTCTATGTGGTTCCAAACAGATCGAAAATCGAAGGAAGAACATTTCGAACCACAATTTATCGAGAACAATCATTTCATTTTCGAAGATTTAAATACTAATAATATATTTTACTCTAAAATTAAGAATTTTTCACGAGATAAAATCGGCCGATTTAATTTTTATGTGGTTCCAAACAGATCGAAAATCGAAGGAAGAACATTTCGAATCACAATTTATCGAGAACAATCATTTGATTGTCGAAGATTTAAATACTAATCATATATTTTACTCTAAAATTAAGAATTTTTCACGAGATAAAATCAGCCGATTCAACTTCTATGTAATTCCAAACAGATCGAAAATCGAAGAAGAACATTTCGAACCACAATTTATCGAAAACAATCATTTAGTTTTCGAAGATTTAAATACTAATAATATATTTTATTCCAAAATTAAGAATTTTTCACGAGATAAAATCGGCCGATTCAACTTTTATTCTGATTCCAAACAAATCGAAGGAAGAACATTTCGAAAAAACGATACTTCATCGAAATCGAAATCATTCGTTTCCCAAAAATTCGAACATTATATATTTCACTCTAAAATTAAGAATTTTTCAAATCAATCAATCTCGACTTTGGCGCAACTCAATTTCTCCAAGAAAAAAAAAAAAAAAAAAAAGAAACGCAAACAGATCGGAAACGGCACGAGAGTGGAGGCAAAACGCCTAAACCAAAGAGAGAGAGAAAGAGAAAAACAAGTAAAAAGCATCGTAACTCGTACAAGCACTTTTCAGTCGATCGGGCTTCGCCGGGTATTTTTTCACGTCCGTTTGCCAGTTTCAATCCCCTGTTCGAGGCCGCTCCTCATCCATCTGCCTACCGATATTCGTCCGGGGTCATATCTCCCCGGCCACTTTTCAATTTCGTTCGACGAATTTCCAGTCTCTCTTCCAGTCTACACTACCCCTCAAAAGTATCTGGACATTCACTCGTTCATCCGTTTCCTGTAAAAATTCGCAACAATTATTCACATTATTTTTACATCATTTTCTTTTTCTTTTTCCTCACGTTTCATGGACGAGCAGAAGAAACATTGAAACAGGAAATACGATGAATATTGTAATTTTCGTTGCGTTAATCTTTTCACGAGATTCCTTCGAGAAATGTCTATATGCATTTTGGGCAATAGTGTACAATAGTTACACACATCTCGTCGATCCGAGCGTCCAATTCTCGAGAGCATAAATCCCGAAAAGTTTTTACTATTTAACTATAATTCCTTTCGTTTCGTTCCAGAGAGTATCCAGCAACGCGTCGTCGTCCAGGTACGTGTCAAACGTCCACCACGTGGGCGGAAAGGAGGAGGAGAAGGAAGGGTTGAAAGCCGGACGAAACGAAATTTTCACCCACCACCCCTTCCCCATGGGTATACCGCGCTACTGTCATTCGAGTATAGAGGCTAATTGGTAGGATGTTTTGCCGGCCTGCGCGGAACTCGAGACCATCTACCCTTACAAGGTTTTGCATTTAGCCTTTCCGTATCGACGACACGTGCACCACGAAACTCCGTGCAGCCGGGGGGAGGGGATTACGAAACCCCGTAGACCAAGTTTAATAGGCCTTGTGTGTGCTGAAAGTTGCTTTTCTGTCGCTGATGACACGAAAAAAAAAAAGAAGAGAAACAGTGGAACAGGAAGTTATCAAGAAGAGGGAGTCAAGAAGGGGTTGTTGATGTAAAGATATTTAATTGAGAGAACAGGGTGAACTCTGGAAATCTACTTATATTCCCTGATGAATTGGAACGCGTGAAAGCAAACATTTTAAGAGTTTTTCCTTTTTTTTTATCAAGTTAATTAAATAAAAGTGAAAAGAAAGAAATTTTTTTAATATCTTTCAAGAGGCAAAAATTTCATCGAGTTAATTTTAAATAATCGCAATATTTAACAGTAAAAAAAAGCTCTTGAATTAATAAATAATAAGGTTAAAAAACAAACAGAATGTACTTATTTTAGTCATCAAAATTTAAACACTATTTAATAAATGTATATAATAAATATATATAATATAATGTATATAATAAATATATATAAATATAATAAGAATAAAAAAGAAAACAAAAGAAGCTTCGTCAGAATTCTCCCCGCTCTTGAGCGCGCGCGCGCGCGCGCCGATTGATTCGTTAATTAAGTCGTGGAAATACTTTTGCACGCATGCGACAGGACGTATTAATCGTCGAACGCCGGAGGTCATATATTGTTTGTGACGCTTTAGACGCGAACATTGATTGCGAGAGAGACGCCGGCGTCGGAGGAGAGACGCTGCTGCTCCGGGAGGAGGGAAAGCCGGCG